CGTGGAATAAGAACATAGTCATTTTAGGTCGTATATGCGATTACTGTACATCCTGAACACGAAAACACATTGAGTCAGCTTCAAGTGCATCATGATATGATTTTGAGATCATAAATTACAAATCTCTTATTCAAGAATCTTTGATCTGTTCGGAGGACACCTACATATAAGACTGTTTGGTATGCTCTGACATAACTACAGGCACACAGTGAAGTTACACATCTAGATTTTGTTATCGTCTTACTTCTTCGGATGCTTTTTGTTGAAACAGATCCTGTAGCTGGCCAGCCCTTAGGATGAGACGATAAGATCAGATTCATCAACCGAAATAGGAAGTTATTTTCGTCAGGATCACGTAAACAAGATTGACCTCAATATAGCCTTCCATTTCACAAAAGACTTTTTCATCCTGACTGAACTGAAGTTTTGATTTAGCCAGTCTCTCAATGGCGCCCCCACAGGGATTCCAGACCAGATTGTCTCCGTAAAATAACAACAAATTCGCATTTGGCTAAATAGCCCCGGTTCCCGGTCAGTCACGGAATATATGCCCTTCCAAACGCCCATTTACATTTGAATACATGTAGATGTACGTTTTATTACAACATAATAATAATAATAATAATCATCATCATCATCATTATTATTATTATTTTACTTTAAGTATACTATTTTTATATTTTGTATTACATATTTACTCTAGGATATTACAAAATTAATTGTAAGGGGAGCTCGAAACTATCTGTAGATCCTTATACTAGCAGAGTAAACGATCAGTTAGCTTAGCATCTCATATTCACACTTTCGATAGAAATATCGTCAAGTTTGATGACAAATAAAAGGTTAATTTATGGAGGTCAGTCACACTGGAAATGTCAATTGCTTGGTTCGTCTTGAATGTATCACCTATTTGGCTCCTAACTTAATGCAGCTCTGACTGTGTGGCTGAGTGGTGACACTTTGCAGTGGGATGCATATAAACCTGTTGGGAATCGCCTCAGGGGCGTTGATGAAGCCCAGACGAGGTCGAGACAGACGCTGAGTTCGGATAAAAAGGTGACGTTGGCGGCTTGTTGGGGTCTTCTACTCGTTTCATCGTGAATACTCAAATATCAGGCCTTGCATCACTTTATGCGAACTGAGATGACCAAAACATTTGATCCAAACAAGAGAGATGCCATTCGGCTGGAAATCTCTGCTCCGACGATTATGAGCCTAAACGATAGTCTAGCCACGTCCGAAAGACCAGTTTAGAGGCAGCGGACCCCCTTTTGGCAATCCGTTACTGCGACGGTCTTCATCAAAGTCGGGCTCGAAGCTGCTGCCTGTCGCGAGGTGACAGTTCGCTCTAAATTGCCGAGTCGACCAGGTCAGGACAGGACGGAGCCTTAGGCATCCTCTCTGTCCACAAGTGAACGGATTTCGTCCTTTTCTTCGCCTGTTAAATGAGCACATGATCGGGGACAAGGCAAGGCCGGTGAGAACTTTCAGAAGTCTGTGGAGGGACTCGAACAAGGACCAATTGGCGCTTTTGCGAGGCACTGACAATTTCATAAGACGCATAACGCCTATGGGCGGTTAATGTTGGACGAAAAATGCTACAACTATTCGTGCATTACAGTTTACTTACCGGTTTATGTTTTATTCGCTTCTTTTGGCTTTTCGCTTGCATACATCTCCTGGTCGAAACCATGAACTGGTTGGCAAAGCCGAATTCATGGAGATCCTATCAGCCGTGGGAGCTGCTTGATGTGGCCAGTCTACGAATAAAAACAAAAACTAGACTCATCTCATCGAAGTGATTTTTGATGGAACCAACAACAGCCTCAGGAATGGTCATTTGGTGGTTGATCCAAAGCCGATTGCCCACGACATGGTGCTACGCAATCTTGACTTTGATGTTGATTTAGACGACAGCATACGAATTGAATTTGTCTTATTTGCCAGGAGAGACTAAGAGCTATCGCTGGGATGAGCCATTCCAGCACCCTCAAAGGGACTAAAACCACAAAGGCTAACCGCCGATCGGTGCTATTTAAATATTATTTGTATTTTATAGTCAGTTTTTGATAAAATTTGAGTTGATTTGGAAACGAACAGTATATTTTAATAGTCATTTGAATTTTCCCACAATTCCCAAATTATATTCTTCCTCAGGGTGAACTGCAATTTCATACTTTTCTATGATTCATCAGCTCCCCCAACTGGAACCAAACCCGGCTAGTGCAGGGTACAAGTTCGACATGGCATCACGACTCCACACTGTCACGGCTGCCGGTGGGCCACAGAAAAGATGTGAATTGCAAAGCTTCTCAGGCCTCTTCCGCATGGCATTATGCAGAGGGATTATCGATGAAGCCTTTATGTGACATAATGGTATCAAAGAACGATGTTACATATAGGTTTATCTGACTCTACCAGGCCTGGCAGATGACAGCTACCCACCCCGGAATGGGGAGAAGGCCTCTTTCTGCCATTTTATTTCTCTTAACTTTTTATCTCTCCAAGGGCCGTTACAACCCGAGCTGGATTTCCACTTCGATGTTGCATGTGTCTCATGCACATGTGCCGAGGGCTCCTAGACTGGCTCACTTAACAACTTTGCCAAAAATGCTTATTGCCGGTTAGCAATTCTAGTTATACACCAGGATATTGTGACTTACAAGACAAGCAGAGCATTTCATAATTTGTTTGACGATACTACTAAGGATCAGATAAGTACCACTTTGTACCACTCAGTCGAGCCTGGTTGAAATAACTTGCTCTAAAGTCGAGTCCAATTTTTTTTATTCAACTCACAGTATGAAACACTGCCTGGCGAAACACAAAGAAAATGTGTTCACTCGCCTTTAAATAAAGCAATACTGATCATTTAGAAAAATATACCAAAAAATAATAAATATTGTTGCTTATTATGAAAATTGCACATTTAATTCATCGATGTTCCAACGATGAAGGTGATTTTGGAAAGGTTTGGTCTGTCTTAAAAGCCACATCCGCCCTGAGACACAGTGGCCGCCAAGCTTGCATTATTGTACGCTTGTGTTGAGAGGTGGAAACGTGTAAACACTGTTTCGAATCTCTTTTGGAGAGCTAGAAATTTCACTCGAGTCCGGCCTGGTTGAGAACTTTTGGGCGGCAAGACTGAGTGAAGTTCAGTATCATCCCGAAGTCTACCAACGCCACTGTGTGAAGAAACTCCACTATCCTTCCATAAATCTCCTTAAGCGACCCAGAATTACCAATTTCTTATTGGAGAATTAGTGATAATTTCGAAACAATGTCTACGGGCAAGTTGAGATTGACAATATTAATCCTGCATTGCAACGGTGCTTGAAAATATTAATATGCAGGAAATCAGTAATATTTTCTAATATGACACTTAACTGTTGTATACTTTGGACATTTTGCGAGGCAAAGCTGAGCGAAATTTAATGAAATCCTGCGGTCTACTTATATCATTGTGGAAAAAACTGACTTATATTTGTATTGATCATATTTATAAATAACAATTAAATACTAAATGAGAGTTCTAGTCATCCTAGGTGATACGAGATGATGAAGGAGTGTTAGTTGAATTTTCCTTCAGTGCCATAAGTAGGCTTCATGTTTCCTATACATTTCACATAGCACAGCTTTCCAAAAGGTAGTCTTAGCTTGTCGCGGTTATAATTTGCATTGTCCAGGTTCCACTTTCGTTAGGGTGCGGACAACACCCAGACGAGGTCGGATCTGCAGTTCAGCAGGGATGAGAATACTTTTTGGGAAGCAAAATTGAGTGAAATCCAATGGAAACGAGAAGCCTACTTGTATGATTTTGGGACAATTCAATTATTATAATTACACTAAACCTTCAACACCTAATACGGCCTAGGGTGACTAAAGATCTTAGCAAACAAATAAGTTTGACTTTATTCTTATAAGTACTTACAAGGTAAATAACTGCAAATCAATGTTTACGAGAAATTGGTAATTATCAATGTAGCATTTCATAATTAGTCATCAGGGTCAACTAGTAGTTGAGAAAGGTGTCTGATACTATATTATGTAGAAATCAACAGTATTTTTTTATAAGATGTGTTTACCAAATTTCGTTTAAGGTGATGAGGGACTGGTAGAAATAGAATTTTCCCACAAATGATATGAGTTGAGCTGAC